GCTGGATTACTACACGTTGTATTACTACGCGTTGGATTACCACGCATTAGATTCCTACGCTTAGAATTACCACGCGTTGCATTATTACGCGTTGGATTACTACGCGTTAAATATGCACGCGGTGGGTGACTACGCGTTGGATGTCCACACGCTGGATTACTACACGTTGTATTACTACGCGTTGGATTACTACGCGTAGGGTTACCACGCGTTGCATTACCACACGTTGAATTACTACGCGTTGGACTACTACGCGTTGCATTACTACGCGTTGGACTACTACCCGTTAAATATCCACGCACTGGATTACTACGCGTTGGATATCCACTCGCTAGATTACTACGTTGCATTACCACACGTGGCATTACTACGCGTTGGATTACCACGCATTAGATTCCTACGCTTAGAATTACCACGCGTTGCATTATTACGCGTTGGATTACTACGCGTTAAATATGCACGCGGTGGGTGACTACGCGTTGGATGTCCACACGCTGGATTACTACACGTTGTATTACTACGCGTTGGATTACTACGCGTAGGGTTACCACGCGTTGCATTACCACACGTTGAATTACTACGCGTTGGATTACCACGCGTTGGATAACTACGCGTTATCCGAAGCTGTCGCTCTCGCGTCTGCGCTCTGATTGGTCCGTGATTTTCCTTAATAATTCAAAAACGAAGCTTCAAACCCCATTTCTGCAAAGGGAAATCTTATTCAGTATCACTACCCCTCATTTCAGGGATACTAATCGTAAGACACCCTCTATATTTACTTCCATGATTTCTTAAAAATGACAGTGCATTATGCATATACAGTAAATACATACAATCCCTAATAAATGATCTTAAAATTGAATCACCCTGTATATGAAAACGCATTTCATTTAAATCGATGATACTTTTAATAGAAGTACATATACTTCCATGAGTGCTGTTTTTAATATACAGTATTCTCCTTTATATTGAAACTGGACGTGTGTACGTATTTTCAGGCAAACGACCGTGATCGTGTATTTTCTCTCTCTATGCGGCCAAATATGCTTCTCTATATTCACTTGTCTCGAAATGAAATGGATGGTGTATCTGTCGGCCTTTCTCCTAGGGTACTGTATTCTCCTACATTTATTTACTATTATTTATTACAGACCTTTACTATATTTTATCAGTTATGTGAATCTTTATGTAAGTGTTCATATACATTTTCAAATTTAATAAATTCTTCATTTATCTTTTATTTATATTGAGGTACAAACTCTTTAAAGAAGGACAATAGACAATTTTCATACCATCACAAAATATTATTATAAAGTTGTAGATAATTGTAAGATAATTTTGAAGTGAAACAATTTTGTTTAAATTCGTATTTTAAAGAACATATAGAAATAATTTAATGGAGGACTGTTTTAAAGAAGAAATAATTTTGTTCAACTGATATGCTTTAGAGAAAATATTGAAACAATTTAATGAAGGACTATTTCAAGTCAGAAATAATTTTGTTAAAATTCATATTTTAAATACTTTAATAAAGAACTATTTTAAAGAAGAATTAATTATGAAGAAATAATTATTCAACTACTATGTTTTAAAGAATAAATCGAAATAGTTTAACAAAGAGGATTTTCTGCAGGTTCTCCATGGTGGGTTACGTGACCATTGGTTACGAAATGAGCGCGGAGTACACGTACCCCGAGTCCGAGGGAATAACGGCGGGAATTTTGAACGTGGCCAATAACGTTTACGGCATTGTGTTCGTTTTGATAATGGGTCGAGTATTAGAAGTATACGGGGATATTCCAGTGCACGTTGGACTCTGTATAGCGTTAGCAGTTGGTCTGATCACTACAGTGTTTACGAAAGACGAGCACAGACGTCAGGATGCCAAAAATGCTCAGTACACGCAAGTTAGTCAGAAGGAAAAGAACGATTGCAATGGCCTGGAGAAAAATTGAATATTCGGAAGGAATTGAATATTGTTTGAAGTATGAACTATTTTTGAAGATCTTGAATACGTGTCTCTTTTTTTATATTGTACATAGTGATAAGTAATAAATTATCATAATGAATTTATAGCTTTTTGATTTATAGAATCCTAGTGACAAAATTTATAAGTTTAGGGATTTTAGATGAAGAAAGTTTTTTATAGGGAAATTAAATAAGTTTTTTTGAAGAATTTGGAAATTTGGAAATTTGACATACTTATAGTTTAATTTATCATTTTTAGATTTTTTGTGGTATCAAAATTTCCCTAGATATCTTTATGTTACCGGGCTGGCAAACTTAAATTTTTAGTATTTAAACTTGCTTAAATTTAATATTCCTATATTGACAAACTAGTAAACTTAAATTTTTAACATTCTAAATTCAGTAAATTATCTAGTTACCAAACTTAAATTTCTGACATTTCAAATTTCCCTAAATTTAATATCTCTATATTATTAAATTATCGAACTTAAATTTTTACATTCTAAATTCCCTAGATGGTAAAACTACCAAACTTAAATTTCTAATACCCTAAAATTCCTTAAATTTAATATCCCTATATTACCAGATTATCAAGCTTAAATTTTTAACATTCTAAATTCCCTAGATTATCCAACTACCAAACCTAAATTTCTAACATTCCAAATTTCACTAAATTTAATATCCCTACATTGCCAAATTATCAAACTTAAATTTGTAACATTCTAAATTCCCTAAATTACCCAACTACCAAACTTAAATTTCTAATATCCCAAATTTCCCTAAGTTTAATATCTCTATATTATCCAACTAGCAAACTCAAATTTCTAACATTCAAAATTCCCCCAAATTTAATATCCCTATATGACCAAACTAGTAAATTTAAATTTCTAACACCCTAAATTCCCTATATTATCCAACTAGCAAACTTAAATTTCTAACACTCTAAGTTCCCCTAAATTTAATATCCCTATATGACCAAACTAGTAAATTTAAATTTCTAACACCCTAAATTCCCTATATTATCCAACTAGCAAACTTAAATTTCTAACACTCTAAGTTCCCCTAAATTTAATATCCCTATATGACCAAACTAGTAAATTTAAATTTCTAACACCCTAAATTCCCTATATTATCCAACTAGCAAACTTAAATTTCTAACACTCTAAGTTCCCCTAAATTTAATATCCCTATATGACCAAACTAGTAAATTTAAATTTCTAACACCCTAAATTCCCTATATTATCCAACTAGCAAACTTAAATTTCTAACACTCTAAGTTCCCCTAAATTTAATATCCCTATATGACCAAACTAGTAAATTTAAATTTCTAACACCCTAAATTCCCTATATTATCCAACTAGCAAACTTAAATTTCTAACACTCTAAGTTCCCCTAAATTTAATATCCCTATATGACCAAACTAGTAAATTTAAATTTCTAACACCCTAAATTCCCTATATTATCCAACTAGCAAACTTAAATTTCTAACACTCTAAGTTCCCCTAAATTTAATATCCCTATATGACCAAACTAGTAAATTTAAATTTCTAACACCCTAAATTCCCTATATTATCCAACTAGCAAACTTAAATTTCTAACACTCTAAGTTCCCCTAAATTTAATATCCCTATATGACCAAACTAGTAAATTTAAATTTCTAACACCCTAAATTCCCTATATTATCCAACTAGCAAACTTAAATTTCTAACACTCTAAGTTCCCCTAAATTTAATATCCCTATATGACCAAACTAGTAAATTTAAATTTCTAACACCCTAAATTCCCTATATTATCCAACTAGCAAACTTAAATTTCTAACACTCTAAGTTCCCCTAAATTTAATATCCCTATATTACCAAACTAATAAACTTAAATTTCTAACGCCTTAAATTCCCTATATTATCCAAATGCCAATCTCAAATTTCTGTCATCCCAAATTTAATATCCCTAAATTACCAAACTAGTAAACTTAAATTTCTAATATTCCAAAATCCCTCAAATTTGATATCCCTATATTACCCAACTAGTAAACTTAAATTTCCAGCACCCTAAATTCCCTATATTACCTAACTACCAATCTAAAATATCTAACTCCCAAAATTCCTCTGAATTCAACTCCCAAACTTAAACTAACATTCAACATTTACCATAAAAACTAAAAAATCCCAGAAACGTCTAAAAATCCTCATTCCCCTATCCATATTCCCCTGTTCCATAAGTCTCTCCTTATATTGCATACTTGACACTCCTACAATCATCACCTCTCCTTCAACCAACCCATAACAAAGCACGATCCCCACCCACGAAAAGAACAAACACAAAATAAAATACTAAAAAGAGAAACAATATATCCACACGGGTTTTGTCCCAACCCTCCACTAATTTACATGATTGTCGAGTAAGAAAAGAACAATTTGGAAACAAGCACGCAGCGTCGTGTCGATATTCGAACAAGACAAAACAATGGTTTCGAGACGCGAGCAGTTGTAGGGGGGTGACGTTTTATCGACAAGGAATATCCGGGCTTGTTTTTAGGTAAAAGGTAGAGGGTGCAACTGCGGCTGACACGTGACATGACGCGTGCACCACTTGTTACTCGACCAGAATACTTGATATACTACTCGATCAGAGAACAAAAGTACCCAATGCGGACTATTATATTTTGCGCTTTCGATCAAACTAGCACTCCTATCTGTCCGTTGCAGAACGTTACGTGGATTCTATCTTGACACTTGGACTAGACATTATTCGCTTTTTATCGGTTTTAATCATAGAGCATACACCATGGTGCATTAGGGTGCTTTTGGATATTAACTATCTCTAGGGAATTAGGGAGTTTCGATTCTGGAGGTTAACTTTGGGTTTGGAAGTAATATTGTGGTCTATGAATTTAGTGAGGTAGGTGGAGATATGACAGTGTGAGGATATAGGGACTTTTGGGGGTATATTATTTTGAGGTTAAGAGAGTTAGGAACACAGGTGTTCAGTGGATTTGGGGATTTAGGGATGTATGGAGGAACAAATCTGTTTATCGCAACATCAGTGTATGTTAAATTTAGGAATTTGAAGATGCAGGGACTTGTGGGTTCCCATACAGATGTGGGAATATGGGGATTTAAGTTTTTGGGGAATATAGAACTTTGGGATTCGAATATATGTATAGGAATTTGGGGATATATGTATTTCAATATAGGGATATCTAGGGTTTCGGGATCTAGGGATTTGGGAAAATTAGAATTGGGGATCTAGGGAATTTAGAGTATTAGAATTTGGGATCTAGGGAATTTAACAATATTAGAATTGGAGATCTAAGGATTTGAGAATATTAGAATTTTGGATCTAGGGAATTTAACAATATTAGAATTGGAGATCTAAGGATTTGAGAATATTAGAATTTGAGATCTAGGGAATTCAGAATATTAGAATTTGGGATCTAGGGAATTTAACAATATTAGGATTGGAGATCTAAGGATTTGAGAATATTAGAATTTTGGATCTAGGGAATTTAACAATATTAGAATTGGAGATCTAAGGATTTGAGAATATTAGAATTTTGGATCTAGGGATTTGGCAAAATTAGAATTGGGGATCTAGGGAATTTAGAGTATTAGAATTTTGGATCTAGGGAATTTAACAATATTAGGATTGGAGATCTAGGGAATTCAGAATATTAGAATTGGGAATGTAAGGAACTGAGATTATTAAAATTAAGAATCTAGGGACTTAACAATATTAGAATCATAAAATTAAGATTTTGAGAATATTAGAATTATTATTCCGAAGATCAACAGAAATCTTAACATATTCTTTATACAATATTTCATAAGTTCTCAAATCACCAAATTTTCCCCCATATTTTTTAATTACAAAAGCCACGACCATCCAGCAAAAAAGCCAGACGCCAAAAACCATGAAACCCAAGCAGGAATCAATGAAACCCAAACAGTACGCAAATGCATGTTCCGCGTACCGCGCGACAGAGAGCGATTTTTCGATCATCAACAACCGAGGGGTTGTTTTATCGTTCCGGAAAGAAAGTAGCTCGTAAAACATTCCGCGGCGCTGTTCTAAGCAGACCGCAGACGACGTCGTACACATCCGTCGTGGACGAAAAAAAAATTGGGGGGAGAGGAAAATTATTGATCTATTGACAGCACAAACACGTTCGAATAGAAGCCGAGGGTGGACTTGGTATCCATCGAGATTGCGATTATCACAAAGGGACTTATGGATTATCGATAACTGGCGAGAATGAAAAGCGGAAACGACAGGTCACCACAAATGGACTCGAGTGGACGGGATGGGAACATAGATCGATAAATTCCATTTAATTCATTCGGGCACGGCCACGCCGACGAAGATAAATGGAAAATTTCGTATAAATATTCTGCCTTGTTTCCTTCATATAGTCTATGGATGTCGAATTAGGAGTATTTTCCAACATTTTTTATGTTTTCAATAAAATTGGTTCAAATTGTAATTATGTAATTTGGATATCATGATTAGTATTGTGTAGGGCATCTAGGGATTTTTGGAATATTAGAATTGGTGATCCAGGGATTTGGGAATATTAAAATGGGAGATCTAGGGATTTTGAAATAATAAAATTGGGGATTTAGGGATTTGGGAGTATTAGAATTGGAGAACTAAAGATTTGGGAATTCTAGAATTAGGGATCTTGTGATTTGGGAATATTAGAATGGGAGTACTAGGGATTTTGGAATATCACAATTGGTGATCTAGGGATTTTGGTATACTAGAATGGCAGATTTAGTGATTTTGGTATATTGGAAGTGAGGATCTAGGGATTTTGGAGTATTAGAATTGGTGATCCAGGGATTTGGGAATATTAAAATGGGAGATCTAGGGATTTTGAAATATTAACATTGGGGATTTAGGGATTTGGGAATATTAGAATGGGAAAACTAGGGTCACCACAAATGGACTCGAGTGGACGGGATGGGAACATAGATCGATAAATTCCATTTAATTCATTCGGGCACGGCCACGCCGACGAAGATAAATGGAAAATTTCGTATAAATATTCTGCCTTGTTTCCTTCAT